GAACGTTATAATCCTACACTGGGAAACGATGCCCCCTGCAGTGCACACGTGCTAACGTTAGCGGATAATGGTTCTGGTTTAAAAAAATAAAACACAAAATGAGCTAGGGACAGCCAAGATGTCAAATTAGAGGCTTCAAAAGGTTTTCCAAAAATGTTTCGTGGCAGTGGCTCCATCCTTTTGTTTTGATATATTTCATCAGTAAACAAATGCCAGTCATCGGCCAAAATCAGGCTTCTGGTGAAAATCAGTTGAAAAAAAAAAAAATACAACAACAATCATGTAAGATGATCCAATGTTAGGTTAAGATAATATGAGGTGCTGTAGTGGTTAGCAGTGTTTTGTCATAGTAAGACGTTTTGGGGTTTGAATACAACTGTTTGCACATTCTCCCTGCATCTGTGTGCGTTTTCTTTGCACACCCTTCCTTCCTCCCACAGTCCAAAGACATGTAAGTTGGGTTTAAAGGGGATTCTGAAATTGGTTTTGATTGTGAATGGCTAACGCGATGGCCTACAGTAGATATCCTGCCTATCCTATGACAGCTCCATCCCAACCATGACCCTTAATTGAATACGCAGAAGAAAATAGATGGACGACAACAACTGTTTGATTTAGTTTGATCACTGTCGATGAGACATCACAGTAAATGATCTCTCCTCAGGTGCTAGCATATCAAAACACTGACGTAGCAATGTGGCAACGCAACCCCAGTCACGTTTCTCCTAAATGACTGCAGTAAGGACTGAACACAGAGCATGCGTTAGGGTCTGTGAACTCTAACTTATTAACTCAGGTGTATTGTGGAGTGAAAGAAGTTAAATGGCGCACCAAAACAGTTAGGGTACTTTTTTAGCAAACAGGGCGCCATGTGTTCTATAAAGGTTTTGGTGCAACACTTACAGGTCCTCTCATTTTATTTTTTTATACTGTAAGGAGTCCATTTCTGAAAAAGCTTGAAGATCCTGTTCTAGTGTGCAAAGTAATTAAAGTACAAACCTGAATAGTGAAAACATGCGAAAAGGTTTCCTTCTTTAAACACAGCAAACACGAAGCGGGATTGCGACAATCCAGGGAAACCAGAGGCCAATTATTGACTTGTCTCTAAACCAGACTTCACACACACCACCACACATCTCACTCAGATTAGACTTAGCTTCTTACAAAAGTGGCAAAAACATGGTGTATGCCAGAGAGCTGAGGTCACATATTGGCACCGAGGAGCAATAATGAGATCCGCGTCGAGGTGGAGACGATGAAATGACCACCGCCGAGGGTCCCCTTAATCTCCCCACGACTGTGGTGACATCTGGTCATCATAACTACTGGCAGGCGTTGCAGTAGAAAACAAAGAGACGTATGGACAGGAGGACAGAAATAGGCAGTGGGAAGGTGACCTCGCTTCCAGCAGTCTGTCACACGGTGGCTCAGCGTGAGGCCGGCTGTGATCCTCTGGTTGGGAGCTTCTGCAGATGCTCTGTTCTTTACGTTGCGTCTGCTGCCTGAAAACACGCTTTAGCTAAATAGTCACAGGGTGAACTCTGACACATATGTACATTTATTAGCCTGTTGATTGTAAAAAGGGGGGGTTGGGGAGGGAAACTCCAAATTCCAGTTCTAATTGCAGTTTTTTAAAATTCTAATGGTACACATATATATGTGTGACTATAATATGTGTTTGTGCGTGGATTTCATTCATATTAACCTCTTAAGCCCCAAGCCTACCTGATCTCCTGCTTTTTGCCCCCGTATCAGGGGGCGTTGGGGCTTAAGAGGTTAAGGCTTACTGCTACATTTACAGCTGTTGTGTTTTCTAAATAAATGAAATAGCAATTGGGGAAATTGTCTTTATGTTTTATTAAATGTGTCCAAGCTTTTGAATATGCAGCATATAAAAGTTTGCGTTTGATTTCTGGCGTATTCAATTTATTCTGACAGGATGAAATTATTGTTCTTTCCTTGTGTTGTTGCCCTTTTCAGTTTTCTTATCCCGTTTTCCTTTTGATGCTTCTGTAAAGGCTGACCATGTGTGAGACACATAGCTATATTTCCCTCGGCCTGTATCTCTGGCTTGGATCGGCTAACAGACATAAATGTCCGCTGACTCTCTTTCTCTCCGCTGATCCCTTTGCTCACTTTCCGCCAATGTTGTTTTCTGCTTCTTAACCTGTAGATCTGCTTAAGCGGCCACAGAAATGAGCACAGAGCAGGAAGGCTGTAGACACTCCGGCTTAATAAGGTTAGATAATGCGTAACAGTCTTTGCTGTTTGTGTGTGGCAATGTGTGTGAGTCATCGACACAGAGAGAGAGAGCAGGAGAAGTCAGTTTACTGGGAATAACAGGAACCAATCAATGCGATTACAAAGGGCATTGTCTGCTGCTGAATTGATTTTGATTTCTTCGTCTTCCTGCTGAACAGAAATAACCTCCTGGTGGATGTTCTCAGATAGCCTCAGACCCTCTCTTGATTTGATCAAAAAACTGTTTAAATAATAAAACTGAAATTAAAAGAAAATTGTCTACATCAGTCTTACCTTGTGTCTGGATAGAGATAAGATTGGATGCACTGCAGGGTAGCGATGCAAATCAGTGTAATACAGTACTGTTATGAGTTATAAATAAAACCTTGAAATCTTGTTCTTCGGGACATACACTCACTGGTCACTTTGTTAGGTACACCTTGATGATACCGTCTTGGACGTCCTGTTGTCTTCAGAACTACCTTAACACTTTCTTTTTCATTCTTCTATTGTCCAGTTTTGGTCCATGTGAACTGAAGGCAGCACCTGGTGTGGTCTTCTGCTGCTGCAGTTCATCTCCTTCAAGTTGTGCATTCACAGATGTTCAATTTAATTTTATTTATACAGCGCCAAATCACAACAACAGTCACCTCAAGGCGCTTTATACTGGAAGGTAGACCTTAATAATAATACATACAGAGAACGACCCAACAATCATATGACCCCCTATGAGCAAGCACTTTGGCAACAGTGGGAAGGAAAAACTCCCTTTTAACAGGAAGAAACCTCCAGCAGAACCAGGCTCAGGGAGGGGCGGGGCCATCTGCTGCGACCGGTTGGGGTGAGAGAAGGAAGACAAGATAAAAGTTCTTCTGCATACTTTGGTTGTAACAAGTTACTTATTTGAGTTACTGTTGCTTTCTTATTTGCTATTCTGTGATGCCAACGAGGCATTTTCACCCAGAGAACTTTTAACTCACTGGATATTTTTTTCCTTTTTGGACCTTTGACTTGAGACGGTTGTGGGGAAATTACAGAAGATCAGAAGATATCAAAACACTTAGTCCTGTGTGTCTGCCACATTCAAAATCACTTTAATCACTTTCCTTCCATATTCTGATACTCAGTTTGAACTTCAGTATGTTGTCTTGATCATCTCTAAAAGCCTAAATGCACCGAGTTGCTGCCATGTGATTGGCTGTTAGCCCACCTGACGCTAATGGTTGATTATGTGTCTTAGCAGTTGTCTCCTGAGCAATCCCAGCCCGTGCTGCCGTTGCATTGGAAGACAAAATCAAATAAAGTCTTCATATATCCTTCTTTCTTCATGATTCCTTCAAACTTTGATGAGATTCCCAGTTCCAGAAACACTGAATAATCCCCACAGCCTAATACGCCCACCACAGTGTTTCATTGTGGGGACAGTGTTCTTCTGATTGTTTATTCTCCAAACATAAACAGTTTCATCTCATCTGACGAAAGGGCATGCTTCCAGTATGAATACCCTTTCTCCAGGTTGTCCTTAGCACACTTTAGTCTGGCTTGAAGGCGTTTCTCTCGGTCTGTGTCTTCTCTGAGACTCCAATTCTTGACTTCCTGACTTGACTAAGTCGTTCACGAGTGTCTTAGCAGTTGTCATTAGACACGTCTCTCACTAGTTTTCTTTCCAGTCTTTGAAATCTTTTGCTCCCTCTGCCAGGCTTCTTCTATACTCTTTGAATTTCTTGATGATATTTCTCACTCCACGTCTTGATGCTTGGAAATGCCGTGATAACTTTGTGTGTCTATCTCCTGCTTTGTGGGCATCACCAATTCTTTTATTAAGCCTGAACTGTTTTTTATTTTGGTGCTTTCTCATCTCACAGCTCAAACCTTTGCTGAAGTTTTGGGTGTTTTTCTGAAATGATTCTGATATTTGTGCAAAAAGAAATCATTTATGCTTTCTAAAGAAAACTCGAATGCTTAGAAATACTATGTTGAAAGTCCCTTGTTCTCTTAAAACAGCAGTTGGGAAAATTTGGTGGGGGGGGGTCTAATAATTTTGTCCTCATCTGTACCTAATAAAGTGGCTAGTTTGCTATCTTCCATATAAACAAAAACAGCAAGCCACCACAGGTACTTTTTAGGATGAATGCCAGTAACTCAAAACGAAATACAACCTTGTTTAAAGGCTTGCCAGTGTGCAGCTGAAAAAGAGGAGTCCCCTCCCCAGACATCTCTCCCGCCCCTTCCCAGAATCTGAACTTTTTGTCCCGCTTCTAATGTTTTCATTAGGAAAGTGAGCTCAACCAAGTCAGGGAGGGAAGGATTAGAAAGCAAAGGACCGAACACGGGGCAGAGAGGGAGAAGGGAAGAGCTTTATGGAAGCATAAATCTTTGGCTTTTTATCCTAATTTTGAGTTAAAAGAGATTTCGGGGCACTCACTTCTTTGTTTCTTTTCTCTCACACTCCTCACTCTTTGCCACCAGCTGCCCGCCAGGTTTCTGTCTTCATCATGAGCTGCCCCTCCGGCTCCTCGATTGGACTCCTCCTCCTCCTGATTGGCTATGCCGCTGCAGGTAAGTCTGGTGTGTATCGTGGTGGAGGTGGGGGTCACAGGTCAAACAGGAAGAGTCAGAGAACGCAGAACAGAGATCAGCGTTTTGATTTGCTAAAACTGATTTATGGATCAGCTTAGTGGAGATGCATCCGATCATCTCCATCCTACTACATGTTTGTAGCACAGTGCAATAGACTTTAGAGGTTTACAGATGTGTGTGCGTCTGTGTGTGTGTGTTTGTGTGTGCATGTGTGCTTGCTCACATGAGCGCCAAACTGACATCATGCATGTTTGAGTGTGTTCGGGATTTTGCCAGCACATCTGTTACTAATTTAACTGCAGCTCTGGCTACACTTGAGCGAATACATTGTTCATGTATCGTGTTCATCTGCTGCTTCAAACCAGCGTTTCTGAGCTCTGCGTGTTCCAGTGTCACCGAAATCGAATGGAAATTCAGAAATATGTGGGACAATCCCTCAGAGCCAAATCTGTGTGTGACAGCCTCAGAGTGTGAATTACACTGACTTCATACTACAAGAATGGCCAACTGCAGGAAGCAAACAGAGTGAACACACACAAACACACAGACCACAGTTGATGTCATCTAAAAACGTCGTTTTTATTTCACACACTAAGTATGAAAAGATAATGGGGTCATACAATAGTTATAGACTCGTGTGTTGGGTTATCTTGATAAAAAAAGAAAAGATGTAAATGCTACAAAAAGAAAAAGTAGTGAAAACAGTTGAACTGTCACAGAGCAAGAGGCAAAAGCAGTGGACGTGACAGTTGACTTGTAAGCACAGAAACCAGATGGCTTTTCTGATGAACTTAACACGCTGAAAATAGTTCAAGTTCGTTTGTTTTTACATGAAAGAATGGAAGTGTCAGTGAAAAGTGAAGTCAACTGAAATCAGCTGATTATATTCAAGCAAAGCAGGGGTAGTGCTGTCTTTAGTTATTTCACAGTCAGTTGAAAGTAGCATTCAGCTGACTGATGTGTCAACTAAACTGGAGTCACTGCATACCACTGAAACAACCGTCCATCCATCCATCCATCATCCATCATCCATCAAGCCAACTATCCATCCATCCATCTAGCAGCCATCCATCCATCAGCCATTCATCCACACATCCATCCATCCATCCATCCAGCCAACCATCCATCCATCAGCCATTCATCCACACATCCATCCATCCATCTAGCAGCCATCCTTCCATCCATCATCCATGCATCATCCATCTATCCATCAAGCCAACCATCCATCCAGCAGCCATCCATCCACACATCCATCCATCCATC